CGGGCCGCCTCGGGGGGACCCACGCCGGGCCCCCCCCCCCGGCGCTGACCCCCCCGCCCTGTCCCGTACCCCAGGGCGACTCGGGGGGCCCCCTGAACTGCCAGGCGGCCGACGGGCACTGGGAGGTGCACGGCATCGCCAGCTTCGTCTCGGGGCTGGGCTGCAACGGGCCCAAGAAGCCGACGGTCTTCACCCGCGTCTCCGCCTTCGAGGACTGGATCGCCGAGGTGGGGGACGGGGGGACGGGGTGCCAGGGCACCGGGGTGCTTGGGTGCCATGGTGTCGGTGTACCAGGGTGCTGGGGTGCCGGGGTGCCAGGGTACCAGGACTCTGAGGTGCCAGGGTGCCAGGGGTTGGGGGTGCCGGGGTGCCGGGGTGCCAGGGTGCCAGGGAAATGGGATGCCATGATGTCAGGGTGCTGGGGTGCCAGGGCACCAGAGTGCCAGGGCACTGGGGTGCTTGGGTGCCATGGTGCTGGTGTACCAGGGCGCTGGGGTGACAGGGGACTGGGGTGCCAGGGTGCCATGATGCCAGGGTACCAGGACTCTGGGGTGCCGTGGTGCCAGGGCACTGGGGTGCTTGGGGGCCGGTGTGCTGGGGTACCAGGGCTCTGGGGTACCAGGGCTCTGGGGTGCCAGGGCTCTGGGGTGCCAGAGTGCTGGGGCACTAGGATACCAGGGTGCCACGGTGCCGCGGTGCTGGGGTGCCAGGGCACCAGGCTGCCAGGGGAATGAGGTGCTGGGGTGCCAGGGTACCAGGGTGCCAAGGGGCCAGGCTGCTGGGGTGCTGGAAGTGCCAGGGTGCCGAGGTGCCATGGTGCTGGGGCACTGGTGTACCAGGGTGCTGGGTGCCATGGTGCCGGGGTGCTGGGGTGCCGGGGTGCCACACTCCTCCCTGAGCAGCTTCTCCCTTCCAGATCATGAGCCAGAACTGAGCGCGGCGGCGGCGGCGACCTCCTGGCGTGGCATCGGGCAAATAAACCCACAGCTCTGGCACCGCACGTGTCCCTGTGCTGGGGCGTGGGCGTGCGGGGGCGGCCGGCGCGCCGGGGCGGCTGGGTTGCCGGCAAATGGCACTGGTAGAGCGGGCGCGGGGAGCACCCAGAGGTGCCCAGACACCACGGGGATGGGCACCCGGAGACACCCAGGTACCACAGGGACAGTTTGCCCTGAGGAGCCATGACGCCACGGGGATGGGCACCCACAGGCGCCCAGGTACCATGGGGATGAGCACCCAGAGACACCCAGGTGCCACGGGGACGGGCACCCCGAGGTGCCCTGAAGCCACGGGGATGGGCACCGCGATGCCGAAGGGACAGGCACCCCAAGACGCCTTGGTGCCAGAGGGATGGGCCCCCTGAGGTGCCCTGAGGACACGGTGATGGCCTCAGCCACGTGCCCCGACGCCGCGGTGATGGGCACCCAGTGACGTCCTGTCACCACGGGGCTGGGCCCCACCCGAGGCGCCCCGAGGCCCCGGTGATGGCCCCCTCGGGGCGCCCCAGGGCCGGACGGCCATGGCCATGGCTCTGTCCCGCCGCCTCCTGCCCTCCCGGCCCGGCCGCCGCTTCGCAACCACTGCCGCCGGCGCGTGACCGGCGAACAAAGAGCCCTTTCAGCGGCGACCCCGCCG